AGCAATTCTCCTGCCTCAGCCCCTCGAGTAGCTGGGATTACAGGCACGCACCACCACGCCCAGCTGAGTTTTGCATTTTCAGTAGAGACGGGGTTTCACCTTGTTGGCCAGGATGGTCTCAATCTCTTGACCTCGTGGTCCACCCACCTTGGCCTCCCAAGGTGTTGTGATTACAGGCGTGAGCCACCGCGCCCGGCCTCTCCCTGAATTTTTAACTCTCAGCCTTGTCCACACTGCGCCTCCAGCAATTTGTTAGTTATAGTTCAGGTTTTCCCGACTTGACACTAGTTCCTCGGAAGTTTCTGCTCCTGGGCTTCTGTTCCGGTAAGTTGTATTCTCTCTATCTATCTGCATGTCTGTCTCCTCAGTTTTGGGGGCAGCTGTTTGTTGAACTGATGGATATAAGAATTGTATGGCTGGGCGTGGTGGCTCATGCCTGTAATTCTAGCACTTTGGGAGACCTAGACGGGCGGATCACGAGGTCAGGAGATTGAGACCATCCTGGCTCACACGGTAAAACCCTGCCTCTACTAAAAATACGAAAAATCAACCAGGTGCAGTAGTGGCACCGCCTATAGTCCCAGCTCCTCAGGCGGCTGAGGCAGGAGAATCACTTGAACCTGGGAGGTGGAGGTTATGGAGGGCCGAGTTAATGCCACTGCACTCCAGCCTGGGCAACAGAGCAAGACTCCATCTCAAAAAAAAAAAAAAAAAAAAAAAAAAATTGTTTTCAGCTTGCTGGGTGGACAGAAGAGATGACTTCTAACTTCTTATATGCCTGGCTGTAAACCAGAAGTCCCCCACATCATTTAATTTGACTTTTCCAAATTAAGTTTAGAGATACTCAGTCACACCTGGGTGTTGTGACTCGCATTTGTGACCCCAGCACTTTGGGAAGGTGAGGCTGGAGGATCACTTGAGGCCAAGAGTTTGAGATCAGCCCGGGTAACATAACGAGACCCCATCTCAAAAATGTCAGAAAGAGATCTTCAGTCACCCACACATGAGGCAAGCCAGAACTGGAGACCTTGGGTGAGGTGACACCTATGCTGTTGATCTGTTTCATGAAGGTGAGGCAAGCACCTTAGACTGGCCTGGAGCCCTTTAGGAAGTTATTGTTGGGTACCATACCTTTGCTTATCTCCATGGCCATAATGGGACCAGACTTCCATACTCACCGGAGCAAATACAAGGCCTGTCCCAAATGGAGATGGGGAAGCGTCCCAGAGAGGTGCTTTAGCACTGTGCTTCCCTCCCCTTCCCCAGTGCTTGTCCATATGGCCAAACAGGAGGACTCCATAAAAGCTGAAAACCTCATTGGCTGAATAATGGTGGAAAGACGATGATATTTTTGTCTAGAAAACATTTTCAAATGTGTGGAGGCCCACACTCGGGGCTTACAGTGTGGTATGACCCCTGACCCTGCCATTCATCTTGTACAAAGTTGTGTCTCAGCAGGTGTCATTGACATTGAATCCAACAGCAACAGCGTTCCCTGCAATTGTACAGTACAAAGCCTGTTCCCTATCCTTAATGTCAGGGAAACACTCTGCATGAATGAGCTGCCAATTTGGGGATGGGGACTGACCCAGGGTCTCTCCAGAGCCCAGCTTTGCTGACCACAGATTATTTTCTGGTACCAGCTGCTGTGTAAGGGGCCCATATTCCTGGGGGAGCCTTCACGACAGGCTTAATTCTCAGAACTGCATCAGAATCTCCAAGTATTAGCTCCCATAATAGGAAAGAGCTCTAGCCTTTTTAAATTGTATAATAATTATTATTTTTTTGAGACAGTGTCTCTGTCGCCCAGGCTGTAGTGCACTGGTGCAATATTGGCTCAGTGCAACCTCTGTCTCCAGGGTTCAGGTGATCCTTCCACCTGAGGCTCCTGAGTAGCTGAGACTACAGGCACACACCACCATGATTGGCTAATTTTTGTATTTTATGTAGAGATGTGGTTTCACCATGTCGCCCAGGCTGGTCTTGAACTCCGAGCTCAAGTGATCCATCTGTCTTAGCCTCCCAGGATTACAGGCTTGAGCCGCTGCGCCAGGCCAGGAGAGAGTTTTAGCCTTTTAAAGACTTTCATATAGAAATTCCAGTGTCTCTGGAAGCCTAAGCTGAAATTAGCTTGTTATTGTCTTGGGGCCACAGTTACAGTTTTGAGTTTCTTTTGGGAGGCGAAGGGGCACTTTAAGGACTGTGGCAGCTGCATCCCCACCTCTCCTCTGAGCCTGGAGCTCTGCTCCTTTCTTCTGTAGGAGGGTTTGGAATGCTGCTGATTATCAAGCAACCCAGGGGCATGGCCAGGCTTCACTATGGCAGAGTTTGTTTGAACTGTGACAGGAGGTGGTACTGTCCCTCTGCCTCTGCAGGGATTTCTGTTCTATCCACTTACATGGCTTCAGGTAATGTGCATTTGTCACAGGATAATTTACAAAGCTATTTAGTGCTGTTTTCTACTCCCTGCCAAAAAAGATTTTCAAAAGGAGGGAAAAGTAATTTTATCCCCGTTTTCAGGAAATTCTGGGCTGCCAGTCTTAGAGGCCATGTATTAGTTATCTGCTGCTGCATAACAAATTATTCCAAATCTTCGTGGCTTAAAACAAGAAATACTTATTATCTCACAGTTTCTGTGAGTCGGGCATCAGCCGCTTAGTTGCTTAGGGTCTGTTGCAAGCCTGGACTCAGGTTGGCTAGGTTTCCAGTCATCACAAGGAATATCTCGAGGAGGATCCATCCGCTTCCAAACTCACGTGGCTTTTGGCAAGCCTCAGGTACCCTCTGGCTGTTGTCCTAAATATCAGTTCCCTGCCACATGGGATTCCTTGTTGGGCAGCTCATAATTATGACAGCTGGCTTCCCTCAGAGCAGTGAGGGAGGAAAAGGAGAAACAAGATTGAAGTCACTGTGGTTTTATAAGCTAATTTTGGGAGTGACATTTTATCACTTTTGCTGTATTCTGTTGGTTAGAAGTGAGTCACTATGTCCAACCCACACTCAAAGGAGGGGATTACACAAAGGCATGAATACCAGGAGGTAGAGCTCACTGAGGGTCCTCTTGAAGGTTGCTATTCTGAGTTATTAATTTTTTTAATGTGTTGTTCCCAGCCCCAAACAAAGTTACAAGCCATCTGTTATAAAGCTCTATCTAGGCCCCTGTGTGGAAAGTGAATTCAGCAGGGTGTTCCTCGGGTGGTATGGTGTTGGGGATTGAGTTGAAAGACAAGGAGTTGCCTAAGGTTAGCAATGCTGCATGGATTTAAGGAGATGTGAAAGGAAAGTCCACTAGCATCAATTTCCTATCAGGAAGTATCCTAGGCATTAGCAGGAACTTTTGATGATAAACACATTTGCTAGGGGCAATGAACATCAAACACCATAGTCTCGGGAGCTACATAAAAGTTGCCAGATACCCTAAAGGTCAAAGAGCCTGTGGAGCCATTGAATGGACCACAGGATCTTGGATAGTGAACATCCGCATAGTAAACATGATATGCCAAAGATCAAACCACATTTGCTAGGCAATTTTTGACAGATTTCACCACTGAAGAGTAAAAGAGCCCCCTGTAGTGACTGATATTGGGAGTCTTCTAATCCTAGTAAATGGGGATATCTTGGTCTGTTTGTGCTGCTAGAACAAAATTACTACAGTGGATAATTTATAAACAATAGAAATTTATGTCTCATGATTGAGGAGGCTGGAAAGTCCAAGATTAAGGTACTGACATTCAGCATCTGGTGAGGGCCTTGTTGCTGTGTCTTCACATAGCACAAGGCAGAAGAGCAAAAGAGCCCAGCTAGCTTTCTCCAGCACTCTATTTATTTGTTTGTTTCTTTTTTATTTTGAGACAGGGTCTCACTCTGCTGCCTCGACTGGACTGCAGTAGCGCAATCACAACTTACTGCAGCCTCAACCTCCAGGCTCAAGCAATCCTCCCACCTTAGCCTCCTGAGTAGCTGGGACTGCAGGCGTGAGCAACTACATCTGGCTAGTTTATAAAGTTTTTTATAGAGACAGTGTCTCCCTAATTTATCCAGACTGGTCTCAAACCCCTAGCATTAAATGCTCTTCCTGTCTCAGCCTTCCAAAGTGCTGAGATTGCAGGCATGAGCCACCCGTGCCTGGCCCCTCTAGCACTTTCTTGTTTTTTTAAATTAAAAAGAGACAGAGTCCCTCTATGTTGCCCAGGCTGGTCTTGGACCCCTGGGCTCAAGTTATGCTCCTGCCTTGGCCTCCCAAAATGCTGTGCTGGGATTACAGGCATGAACAATCACGCTCGGCTCCCTTTAGCACTTTCATAAGCGTTTAACCCTAGCCATGAGGATGGAGTCCTGATGACCTACTCATCCCCTAAAGGATCCACTCGATACCATTACACTGGATCGTAGGTTCTAACACTTGAAATCTGGGGCAACATTCAGACCATAGCAGGAAGTTAGAATCAGATATAATCTAATTTAGAAAAATTAAGCATCAGATAGACATCTCTTTTATTATGGTAGTATGAAGGTATACTATACTTATATTTATTACTTGCTTAATCTTTATAACTCTTTGTAGTAGGTATTGCTTGTTCTTTTTACAGAAGGAGGAACTGCAACCCGGAAAAGTGAATATATGTTTAATGAGCTAACACAGAAGAAACCAGGGCTAGAGAACCCCTTGTATTATATCCCAGATCATTTGGAATCTTTTTACCTGGCTTAAACAAGAAAACAAGAAGGAAAGAAATATATTGACCAGCAGAACAGAAAAGTCTTGGGTTAAGGTTGCAATCAGGCAGCACAGTTGATTCAGGGGCTCAGTTAAAGTCGTCAGGATGCTGTTTCCTTCTATTGTTTGTCTCCATTCTTCTATGCTTCCTCATTGTCAGGCTTCTTATGATAGCAGGACGCCTGCCAGTAAGTTCAGACCTAAAAACCTTCCAGATTCAAGTGCCCCTAAAAATGTGGTGGCTCTCACAAAAGTCCCTGCCAAATCGCATTGTGTCTTCCAGGTTCCTGTTGAGCCAGAAACCCATCTCTGAGTCTGTCACTGGGAGAATGGGATGCTCCTTTGGACTGGTCCTGAGTTACATACCCATCTGGGACAACAGGACTTGCTATGGGGACAGCTTCACCTGTACATGGACGGAGACTGAAGAATGAAGGTAATCTCTCCAGAAATGAGTATTGTTCAGTAGAGGTATAGTTGATTTCCGCTGGTAGAAATGATAACTCCAAAGATGATGTTTTATTGCTCAGTTGGATAGTACCTAAATTTTCATCTATTAATTCATTTGAACATTCCTGGTGTTACATCTCCTGTTTTTTGTCCTTTTGACCAGTCTTAATATCTTACTTAAAATAATTAATGAATTCAATACATCTTTGACATGTGTTTACTTTATATGAAAGTCATGTTTCTAACTTTCTTTTTTGAGGCAAGTTCTCACTTTGTTGCCCAGGCTACAGTGAAGTGGCATGATGACAGCTCACTGCAATCCTGGGCCTCAAGTGGTCCTCCTGCCTCAGCCTCCCAAGTAGCTAGAATTACAGGGGGGCTCCCCATGCCTGGCTGTTTTTAACTTTTTGAAAATTGTACTTCAACAATTGGGAGGAAGCTATACTTCTTTTACTTACAACTCTCATTTTCCTTTAAAATCACCTAGGCAATATATGTCTTCAGGGGTATCATAGCTTTAAATTTAGTAACATTTTAAACAACTTGTCATCCAGGTTAGCCAGATTTCTTGGAAGTGGTTCCTCCAGTCCCCGGCCAAGTTGCCCTGGCAGATGCTGTGTGGAATTGAGATGAGCTATTCCTTCTGAGCCCTGCCCAAATTGTACATTAGTGAGCAAAATGAATGAATGGTATTGTTTTAAGCCACTCAGTTTTGGGGTTATTTGTAACACAACAATAAATGCGTGATACAAGGAGAGTTTCCTTTACATACATCTTTGTCTGAAATTTTTATAACAAACCCCTGTTGCATTTAAAATTTTGTTATTTTTTCTGGGACAGAGTCTTGCTCTATTGTTGCTTAGGCTGGAGTGTAGTGGTTCAATAATGCCTCACTGCAAGCTCGACCTCCTGGGCTCAAGCCATCCTCCTGCCTCAGCCTCTCAAATAGCTGGGACTGCAGGTGTCTGCCACCATGCCTACCTAAGTTTTAGGTGTTTTTTTTTTTTTTTTTTTTTTTTTTTTTTAAAAACAATATTCAGAACGCCTAGCAAGTTTGTCCTTGTTTTTTTTTGTTTCGTTTTCTTTTTTTTTTTTTTTTTTTTTTTTTTTTTTTTTTTTTTTT